GAGGGGAAGGCCTGAGCAGCGGCGACGGAGGGAAGGAGAGATGGTAGGAGATGAAGGGGGCGATGAAACTGGAATGTATATACATATATGATTTTTKTTATTTATAATTTAATTTAAATTATTTAAYATTATTGAGGGTTAAAATGGTAATTTGTTATCATTCAGAAAACATTTACCAAACAACCATATTTCATTCAGCACTTAACCATTCTGACCCTCTTAGCCATTCTGACCTCTTAACTATTCTGCACTAAATCATTCAGCAACTGCCAAACAGCCCCTAAGTTCTAAGACCTAAGTGCTAGTCTTTGATTATATATATATATATATATATATATATAGAGAGAGAGAGAGAGAGAGAGAGAGAGAGAAAGAGAGTCTGATTCAAATGTTAACCAAGTTTATTGTATTAACTTTGTTAACCATTTTCAACCAATGACAATCCATTTTATATATAGGTTCATATTCATCTTATAATTTAATGACAAGGGTAAATATGTAATTTTCTTTTTTAAGTAATTCCCATATAATTAATTGAGAGTTACAAAATCAAAAAATCTCATGATTTTTGTTAATTTGTTATTGATCTTTTTTTTATAATATTGATTTTTCTATCTATAATGATTTTGAATTTGTGATTGGTAGAGGAGACCCGGTAGTAAAGTTTTTGGAATCGTTCAAGCTATTATGGATATACTCATTGTTCATAATGAATGAACTATTGTTCACAAGTGTTTATATTGTGTTCATATCTACACTAGTTGCATATCTCATCATCGGCTCGCTCCTGAATGTATTCATAATGAAGGAACTATTGTTCACAAGCTGTTGATATTGTGTTAATATGTACACTAGCTGCATATCTCAATATTGGCTCGCTCCTGGATATGTTCATAATGAAGGAACTACTTGTTCACAAGTGTTCATATTGTGTTCATATGTACACTAGCTGCATATCTCAACATTGGCTTGCTCCTGAATGTGTTCATAATAAAGGAACTCTTGTTCACAAGCTGTTCATATTGTGTTCATACATGTTTTTTTATTTATTTCATTTCATGTAGCAACTATTCCTATTATGTTTATAATATGTTCATAAATGCTATACAGTCCAAGTTCATATATATATGTCAATTTTTGTTCGTATTTGACACAATGGTTCATATATATATATATAGAGAGAGAGAGAGAGAGAGAGATAGAGAGAGAGAGAGAGATAAAGTGAGAAAGAGATAAAGAGATGTGTTTATATGATTCTTACATTAACAAAAATAAATTAACAAAAATCAGGAGATTTTTTGATTTTGTAACTCCCAATTAATGATATGAAAGTTAAATAAAAAAGAAAATTACATAAATACCCTTTTTCACTTAGTTCACATATGTTTGTGAAATTGTAAATTTAAAAAATTAAATTTTTAATATGATAAATCACAGCCGTTTATTATAAGAATCAATAGCCAATATTGATTAACAAAGTTAACACAATAAACTTGATTAACATTTGAACCAACTCCTATTATATATATATATATATATATATATATATATATATATATATATATATATATTCTCTCAACTATATAATATTGCCAAAACCCCCCTCTAGGATTTACCCCTTTGTGATCCTTCCAATTTACTTTTCAAATAATTCAAATGAAATTTGATAAATACTACTTGTTCTTACAAACCCCACTTAGGATTTATCACTAGCATTTTGACTTTCATGATTAAATTAAGGAAGCTTTCCTTAACATAGTGTATACTTTTCAAATAATCCAACATAATCTAAGGCAACTTTAAACATTTGAACCATGATTCCATAAGTTAGACTTGGAGAGAAAAGCACACACGGAAGTCATCGTTATGTTCATGAATAATGGAGCACTTTTACAGTCATGTGCTCGTCACAGTTTCATAGACACCTACAAAGGCAATGCGTTTGCTTATGCCAGAGCGACACCACTCCTTATGTCTACATGTGTAAAGCCCCTCTAATTACCAAAAGAGTACTTCGTTAAGAGTACATAACTCACCCTTAAATTATTACTCATTAGTTTAGTAAACTAATGTCCAAGTTGATGATCAAATAACTTGTTTTTACCACATTCATCATCTTTTTTTTCTTTTTTTCCATATTCTTATTGATCTTCATTTTTCTATCTGTCTAGAAAACCTTGATAATCTTCTTTATTATTGATATCTCATTGACCCTCACGATTATTTCATTTACACGAATTTTCTTTTTGTATCAAAATAACACATATTTCTTGTTATGAACTAAAATAATTCTTACTTTTTTATAAAAAAAAATTATCAACCATAGTTTCTATACTCTTGGTTTCAAATTACCTAATAAGAAGTACGTAAATTTAAGTATATACTTATATATCTACAATAATGATAAATAAGATTTCTCTCCTCAGTAAATTGTTAGCATTTTTTGTACTTAATTTTATACTAATGAAAAACATTTATTGAATTTTTTTTTCGTACTTACCGAGGGTCACTACAAGAGAAATGAGTTTTGACGATACGCCTTTTAGCGATTACATGTTTCCGCCACAAGTTATAGCGATGACATATTGTTGTTATCTACTCTTTTTGATGATAAATGGACTTTTAGTGACGACAAAATTTGTTGTTAAAAACCTTATTTCTTGCAGTAGGCCCTGTTTTTATGTTCGTCGCCTATAAAGTAGGAAGTATTCATGAAGAGAAGAAAACAGATCAAAAAAATAAGAATTCAAAATGTCATGTACTAAATCCGACCCTCTGAAATGTCACAATTTCACAGACAAGACGGCGAACCCAAATACTTACACTTCGCAGTTTTGTAGAGTCGTCATGATTGATAACAAACCAAAACCCAAATCGAAAGAATGCATGCACATATTTTGTTTCTAGCATGTCTGTATGAGATCAACTGAATTAGGAGACTCGTACATAATTACACCTACGATAATACATACCAACATGATGCTGTTTTTTCTATCCACGCCTTTACGCTTCAAGACCAAACACAACGTTGATTCTTTTCTTGAACTTGTCTAAGTATCGAGCTTCACGGGCAGTTGGGGTTTCTACCCGGCCCACCATAGTAAATGTAGCTGCCCCAACCATCGTTCTTGCCCGTTTGAACATTGTAGCAGTTAGCCTGCTCGGTGAAGGTGTCTACGTCTTTAGGAGCCCTTAGACTGTTTGATCCATCCACTATTTGAACATTTCTGAAGTAACTGGACTTACTGAAGCCTTCTTCAGGGAAATGGCCACTGCCCATCTGGGTGGTTGTGTGTTGCCCATCTGATGCTGAGTTAACCACCTCTCCTCCCCATTGAATCATTGATGCGCTCTCACTTAAGTAAGAAAATAACGAAGCTGGCCAGTATCCGAGCACCTTCCCATTCCCAAATTGCATCCACCAATTCCCTTGATCGGGGTCCTAGTAATTGTACCAAATGCATCAATAATCACAACAAAAATGGGTCTTTTAGGATCCCCCAAGCATCCTAATAATTACTTAATGAAAACTTAAGTTCATAGGACCACGAGTCCTATGTAAAGGGCGTTACAGTTAGTTAGGACAATGTTAGGCAACCTAACAAGTTCTATCAACGAAGTTGGACAACCTAATAGGACAAAAAAATAAATCAACTCTCGTTAACCCTTTTACAAGACATTTTGAAAGGCTGCCTATATAAGACACTTTTCAGAAGTGTTGTGTAAAAGGAGTAACAGGACGATTTACTTTTTGTGTATATGTAACGCCTTTAGATAGGACACAACATGGTTCTTGGTCCTATAAGCTTCAAATCTCATTAAATACGTATTAGTGAATTCCCATTAAAATGTGTTTTAAAACCAAGTACTAGCATTCATGCCCAGGATACAATATAATGAAGGTAGGACATGTTCTAGACCCAACTTTAATATCCTGCCTCCAATATTAGACACAAAATGGGACATGTATTGTCCTACTTCACAAGTTGCTTCCAACGAATCAATGATCCGAGTTCCTGTTGTGCACATCCTGTGACTTCTAAGAGGCTGTTTACCTAAATGCTTACCCGGTAAGTGCTTACCTATATGAATCAACACTATAATTTATTTTGATGAGTAAGATTTTAGTACATCAAAACGTATTGAATGCAACAATTTACTTGGTAAGCGCTTATCTGGGTAAGAGTCGTAATTTTCACTTACCGGGTAAGACTCTCCATCATTCTCATCGCTCTTACCCGGTAAGATTCTTGGCCCTTGTCATGTTCATCCGATAAGGAAACTTATTTGGTAAGCACTTACCAAGTAAGCGTTTAGTAAACGGCCCCTAAGACTCAAAAAAACAGCTTTCCAACTTCAATTTGGTATTTGGTTGATTTTTATGTTAAAATGTAACCAGATTTAACGGTAAAGAAAATTATTTAAGAAGTTCTTTAAGTATAGAGAAATAACATAAAATTTTGAATTGTTTAACTACTATGATTGACATTGAAATTATTGCCATGAAAACCAGATGTCATAGACTAATAATTTCATAACCATGTTACTTTTGTATAGTGGGAAAGCATGACTGATACAGTCAACACCCCACTTGGCTTATTGTAAGCCTAAGTATACCTCATGTAAGGATATGTGGAACCCGTTTAAATCTTTCTGAAAAGGAGCCTTTTGTTGAGAGGGGAAGTTTCCAACATGTATAGATGTTGGATGGACCGTTTCTAAAAGAGCCCTCGGCTAGTAAGCAAAGTGACGTAATTTGAAGGCTAGAAACAGCGAAAGAAGCTGGCAGGTGGGTTCCAACTATTATATTCTTCCTTTAAATATTGGGTCTTCTGTTTTTGTATGCATTCACACAATGTGATAATAATATTAATAATTATTTCAAGTATTTGTTTAGAACATACCTTCCAGATAAGTATGCTGATATCATATTGGGAACCATGATATTTAGAAAGAGGAGAAATACTGGCCCCCAATGCTACCTCATTGTTGATTTGAATGAATCCTGAGCACAGAAGGTTGTAACAGCCTGTGGCTTGATATGCATCACTCTGCCAATATTTTAAACTTAATGGACCCACAAATGTACCATTTTATCAGAATCCTATGCAAACCAATTAATTATGTCACATAAAATAGCAACTATTCCTTTTTTTTTTTTTTTTTTGATTCTTTTGAACCTAATGTCATATTTGTCTACAAGTGAACAATGCTATTTACTGGATCTTAGAAGCTTTTTACTGATAAACGCATCCAAGATCCATTTTTCGGTGCAATTATCTATGAAACTAGTTCAACTTACAGTCCAATATGTGAAGAATCTGGTGTTGCTATCCCCATATAGATCTGGGCTGACCTGATATTGATTCAAGATGTGTTAAATGATGGGCAAGTTTAGAATTCGATGATCTTGAAGTAAATTATGGTTCTACCTGCCAACCAGCTTCAATGCTGTTGAGATCTGAAGCAAATGAGCCTCCCAGTAACCATATTTGAGACAAGCTGAATTCATTGGGCTGCTGTATTTTAGGGTCCCAAACATTCATAGTTGCCTTTGCTCCATAAAACTCTCCTTCAACATAGGCAATTGCATGCTAAATGAACTCCAAAATCAAAGATAACACAAGCAAGATTCAGTAAAAGCAAAAGGGTATTCTGTTAGCATAAGTCAGGTGATTTTCGACTCAGGTGAGGAGAGCGTACCTGATGGCCACTTTGATTGATAAGGTCAAGATCAACAGAAGTTGGATGGGCAACAAGGGAGAGGTTGTTTTTCTTCCCATAACTCTGGATTGAGCTAGCTCTGAGGATGTCCTCTTTCTTGGTTCTTCTAACAGGGATTGTCCCCTTTGGGCACTTCCCATTCTCATGCCATAATTGAGAAATTGTTGGCTGCTTTTTCGATGACGATTTCTCTGTAAAAGACTTCATCATGGCTGACACTTTGATGCTCTCATCATTTATCCCCTCTGGATGAAAATTTGGCCTCGTCTATAACCATCCACAACCATAAAACATAAATCAAACCCTCTTCAGATTTCAATTCTAACATGATAAGAATTATAGAGTCCCTGTTCATAATCGACTTTTATGGAGTTTTCCCTCCCATTTGCCCCAATTTAAAAGGAACCCTCTTCCAAAATCCAGAAATCAGATCCATAACATAAACATGACACCAAACTTTCGACTCCATAGCATTAGTGACCCTCTTTAGAACCCTAAACAACACAAGAGACCACACACACACACACACACACACACTCTATACAGAGAGAAAGACCTGAATGGTGTGATTTTTGAGGGAAGGATGATCAAAAGCTGCTTGACGGTAGATATGAACACAGTCGATTATATCTCCATCAGGGCTCTGTTGAATGCAATCATAAATCACAAATCAACACATGAGAATATAACAAACACACAAGCAGAACCAGTAAGAAATAAAGAGGGATACTAAACCTTGATAGATTTCATTGAAGGTCTGTTCAAACGATTCAAATGCTTTAGAATCTCAACCTTCTCGCCGGAACCCAAAACCACATTTCCGGCAGCATAACATAAAGTCACCAGACACAGAACCACCGTCGAACGGGAAAAGAGATTCATCTTCTTTCACACACAACGACAGTGAAACTACGTATGCTTATCCTGCTCACATATGCTGCCCACACAAATCTATAAACTACAAAATTATGCCTCAAAAAAAAATCATGGGAATCAAACAAAAACCGTTGACGCTTTCTTCTATTACGCTCGTGATTGAGAGAGACCTCAAGGGTATAAAAGGGAAATTGAAATCAAACCAAGATAACCAACCAGTGAGGAGAGGAGAATTGAAGAGTTTAGATGGGGGTATTCCATACATACATACATATTGAAGATTGAAAATATATAGATACACGCATATGCTACTACAGCTACAGCTATGTCGTTTGTCGTTTGGGATGTGTGGACCTATGACTATGCCACTGCAAATTCATTGACAAATAATTCCCTCTCAATTTCATGGTGGAGATGGTACCCACAAGATTTTGACATTTTACCTGAATTTTCGGGAGATCTTTGTGTTGCATTTTGGATGTGATCCAAAACCAGAGATCAAATGGGTTTTCAGTTTCTTGGATATTACTGTGACTGTGAGTGAGATATCAACGATGCAGTAACATGTGGAAGGTAAAATCCTATAAATTTGGTGGGGTTTTTGTATAGTTCGATGGTCGTAGGTATGCATGTATGTGAGACTACAACCAACGTCACCATACATATCAGGGGTGTTAAAAAAAAAACACCAACCGGACCGTTTAAACTGGCCGCACCAAGTTAAACCTGACCGTTTTTGGCAGTTTGAGCAGTCTAGCGGTCCGGTCTAGTTTGAAAAATAGCCAAAACCGGGTGGTCTGGTCGGTCTGCTTAGACTTTTTTTTGGACGGTTTAGACCAACCCGACCGCCATATATATATATATATATATATATANATATATATATATATATATATATATATATATATATATATTTATTTATTTTAGTATTATAATTATTAAGCCCAAATATATGTCCAACTTTAATTTATATCTTATGGGCTATTAGCCCAAACATAAAGCCTTATTCAATTTGGAAAAGATTTCCTAAATCCCCTAATTCCTAATCCAGTAATCCTTACCTTACGGCTTAACCCTGAATCCACCATTATTCCACCTCTATTTCGGTATTTCCTAATCGTCGCCTAATTCATCGAAATCGAACAAACTTGTCGTTGTTGCTTGCCGGATTGGAAAGTAGAAACGACGGTGAGTCTGCGTCTGCCGCCACTTCACCACTGCATCTGCCGTCTGCCCTGGTCTAGTAGCTTGCCGTGGAAACGAAAGTGACGAAACAGAAGTCTAAATCCCTCAAGAACATATTTGTAAATTGTAAGTCATGTTTTGTTGCTTTAAGAAATTTCTATTTGTATCTATGCTTTAACATATTTCTATCTAGTACTGTATTACATATTTGTTAACTGTTAAGACACAGTTCTAATGTTTAATGGCTATGAGCTATCACAGTTCTAATGTCTAATGGCTATCACAGTTCAAATGGATCTACGGTAGTTATTGGAGTCTAATGGCTATCACAAATTCACAGTTCTAGTTCTAATGTCTAATGGCTATCACAATTAGTAAGAGTTCAGAACTGTAGTGCAGTATTACATTTCTTACATATAATTTAATATTTTTAAGACTATATCAAAGCTAAAAGATTGTACACACCGATAAAATAAATTGTTGATAATTGCCTAATTCTTTGAAAAACACTTAAGCCTCAAGCAAGCAGGCAAATAAATACATATTACATACTGTAGAAAGTCAATGCGGCCTCCCAGTGTAACTATCAAAGCTAAAGAACCATATAGAAATATGGCTTGTTACACTTGTTCATTTATTTGCTTCATAAATTGAAGAAACGATAATAGAAGACGGTAACTGCTACCAAACTAGTCTTTGTTAAGAGTTAAGACAATAACATGTTATTTGTTAAATAGTATCTATTATCTAACTATCTATTACTATGTTTTACCAAATTTTTATCTATGTCTGTTAAATAGATACACAAATATGTGACTCTTAAATAGATACACAAATATGTTAATCCATGACTATGTTTTACCAAATTTCTATATATGAGACTATGACTGTTAAATACTTAAATAGATACACAAAATTGTTAATCCATCTTGGATTTGTATGACTGTCTCTAAATGATTGTTTTAACATGACTATAGATATTAAACGATTGACTTTTTTGTTGCTTTAACCTTTAAGAAAATTCTATCTATATTTTAAGCCTTTAGCAGAGTATTAGTGATGTCTCTATGAAGTCCTATTTTCTATGTAACTATATTGAACATATTGTAACTTATGTTTATTTTCTACTTTTTTTGTTTGTGTGTCTATTTATGTCTTTTAGATGGAAATACCCTCTCAAACTAAAAGTATAGACTCAACTGGTGCTTCTAAACCTCCTTTGCCACGTAACACCAAAGAGAGAAAAAAAAGTAGACAATGTTCTGAAGTGTGAGATCATTTTACGAGAAATGAGAGTAACCAAAATGACCCAAGGGCTTTGTGTAATTACTGTGGTAAAGATTACGCAAGTGATAAGAAAAAAAATGGAACTAGCACCCTTTCGAACCATCTTAACCATCAATGTAAAAAGTATCCGTTTAGATTAGAGGATAAGAAGCAAAGATTCTTGTCTTTTCAAAAGAACAACGTGAACGAAAGTGATAGTCTTGTATCTGTGGGGTTTAGTCAAAAAGCATGTCGAGAAGCTTGTGCAAAAATGATTGTGATTGACGAGTTGCCTTTTAGATTTGTTGAACAAGAAGGGTTCAAATCATTTTGTTGTGTTGCATGTCCTAAATTTGAACTTCCGTCGCGCATTACAATAGGTAGGGATATTATGAATCTCTATAATGATGAAAAGAAAAAATTGAGGTCATTTTTCATTCAAAATTCACAAAGAGTTTCTCTCACCACGGATACTTGGACATCTACTCAAAATGTTGTATATATGGTATTAACAGCCCACTTCATAAATTCTGATTGGAAAATTCAAAAGAGGATCTTGAACTTTTGTCAAGTGTCCAACCACAAAGGAGAGATAATAGAAAAAGCTATTGAGACGTGTTTAAAAAAATGGGGTATCGAGAGGGTGTTCACTATCATTGTCGATAATGCTTCTTCTAACAATGGGGTTGTTCAACATATCAAGAAAAGATTGCAAATTTGGAAGAGTGCAGTTTGTGATGGTGAATTCTTGCATGTTAGGTGTTCAGCCCACATATTAAACTTAATTGTGGGAGATGGATTGAAAGAAATGGACTATTCTATAGCTGATGTTCGTAATGCAGTTAGGTATGTTAGATATTCCCCCTCTAGGTTAGCAATATTTAAAAGTTGTGTAAAAAAATACGTGTAAAGAAGATAAAGCACTTGTTTGTTTGGATGTGCCTACTAGGTGGAACTCCACATATTTGATGTTAGATCATGCTTTGAAATATGAGGAGGTTTTTAAGTTATTAGAAGAAGAGGATGTTACTTCATTCAGTACTTCATTGAAGATGATAGAAATGGAAAAAAGCCGCTTGGGCCACCGACGTCTAAGGATTGGGAGCAATGTGCCATGTTTTGTAAGTTTTTGAAGGTTTTTTATGATGTCACTTTAAAGTTCAGTGCTTCTTTGCATGTTACTTCAAATGTTTATTTTCACGAGTTGTCGTTAGTTCATGGGTTGATTAACAAATGGTGTTCAAGTGATAAAGAGAACTTGAAACAAATGGCTTTAAGGATGAAAAAGAAATTTGAAAATTATTGGGGGACCACGAACAAACAAAGTGTGATTCTTTATGTGGCTATTGTACTTGATCCGAGATACAAATTAAAATACGTTACATTTTGCTTGAGACAATTTTATAGTGAGGATGAAATTACCATTATCACAGATTCCATTAAAAGTTGTCTTTCAAGGCTAGTAGTTCATTATACTAGTGAGCTTAAAGTAGAGCATCAAGTAGATAGTGTTAATCAAACACAAGATCATGTGCCAATAGTAGATTCCGATGATGAAGATTCGGTCAGGATGTTTGAATCTGAGTTTGACAAAGAATGTGATGAAGATGACTCTTTGAACATGCAAAATGAACTTGAAAGGTACTTAGGTGAACGCAATGAAGATAGAAAAAATAAGAACTTCAGTATTTTAGAATGGTGGAAAGTGGCGTCATCAAAGTATCCTATTTTGTCTGCATTGGCTCGAGATGTTCTTGYTGTCCAAGTATCAACAGTGRCTTYGGAGTCCGCTTTTRGCACCRGAGGGAGAGTTCTTGATTGTTTTCGGAGTTCATTAAGTTCTTCAATGGTTGAAACTTTGATTTGTTGTCAAAATTGGTTGAGATCCATGAATTTGCCGTTAGATTTGGCTTCTATTTTGGAAGAGATGGATATTTACGAAAATATGGAACCGGGTAATCAATTTAAATTAATTTCACATTACTTAAATTTTAGATTACGTTGTTTTCATTTATGTTGTTTATCTAATTTATTTTTGAATTTTGTAGATAAATCCATCGAAGCCCCATCTGAAGGCTGAAGTTGGGAGTCTTGATAATGATTAGAAAGTTGTTGGATCGCTATAACGTAAGCTTCGATTGGTTCCCTACTTCTTTCACACATTTCATACAATCTTTTATCCTTTTAATTTATATGATGTCATTTTTTTCTACAGATTACTCATTCCTGTTTGATATAGATTGAATCTTTATGGATTTTGAAGAACTGAAGATGTGGACTTTGTTTGCACTTTACATATTAGTGTTTTCACTTTTTTTAAATAATGAACACTAAGATTTGGATTCTATTTTGACTTTGTTTTTTGGTATGTTTTACATATTTATTTGTTTGGACTTTGGACTTTGGATTGTTTAAATTGGGTTTAAACTTTAATGGCTGCTTCAGTGGTTAGTGGTTGGTATACATGAATCGATATTTTATATGCAACCATGCAGCCCTGCAGGTAGCTGCTGCCATGGAATATTAAGGACACATGAAGGACTCCAGCTGCTGGAGTCAACCATGGAAAGTCTCACATGTGAAGGACACTTATTTTTTAGTACTTTTATTGTAGAAAACAAATCTGCATGGGAGATGATTATGATGGGTGATTAATATTTATTATTCAAATTTATAATAGTACACATGACACTAGGTTTTTTGGTTTTAATGTTTAAAGCTCATTAAAGGCCCAAACCGCCTAAACCGGTCAGACCAGACCGCCTTTTTGTGGTCTGGTTTGACC